CCCGCCCCGCCCGCCAGCCTCCCTGCGCAGGGTGGTGGCGGCGGCCTGCGGACCCATCACGGCCGTAGCTTACATTGTACGAGGGAAACACGATAAGCTGGAGAGAAAGTCACAAGGTGGATATTCCACCCTCCACTCTCAATCCTCACATGAGTAGTGTTTGACCGACAAACACCAGATGCATAACAACGAGTATATTTAACTAAGAATATATACTTATAGCGGCAGAACGGGCTGTATTCTATCACTCTCGCATAAGCCTAAGCCTCGGCCACCCTACCGATGGGGTAACCTGATGACCTGGCGGGGAAGGGGGGCCGAAATTGTTGGAAACTATATCGAAATAAATCCAAATAGGGAAAATTGGCGTTGAATACTTCTGTGGGAAAATCACATACAGACGAAGGGAAGCAGAAAATCTAGTTAACTTACCGACCTTGACAGCGGAGCGGTCAGCTTGAGCCACCAGAGCCCGGCACTCAACGCGCTCCGTTTCAATAGAAGCACACACAATTAAGAGAGGGATCGACACAAACATACGGCGGCTGCATGCTCACACTAACACAAATTCACCTAAAACAAAGCAAAATGATAAATAATAAATACCAACAGTAAATAACACAAACAGCAAAGAGAAAAATAAAACGAATGAAAGAAAACATTGCAAAAGAGGAAATGAGTGATACTATGCGGGAGAGCACAGACACGACCAAGACCAAACCGTGTGCACTTTGACACCCTAGCCATGCGGGCGGTGCGAACCTACTCGCAGGCGGGTGATAGGCTAGGTAGCCCCGCCTAAGGGATCATCCAGAAAGTACGTCCGTCCTTCACCGTTGCGAAGTTCACACACTCTGAGCTCTCATAGCGCCTTGTAGGTAGGCAACATATTGCATGCTGTGCGTGCGTGTACTGCGGGATGGCCTACCTGGAGTTTCGCAGGCGCCGAGCTCCAGTACTTTGCCCAATGTATCTGAGAATCACGGACGAACTTTCTGGACGCTCCCTTGCACGCCAGCGTGCGGTATGAGTCGTCTACCTACACGGAACGTTCCAGCCACCAGGTTTGCCAGATGGCTGGTTCGGTTCGCACATAACTCGCTCTCCGCGTTGGGCGCAAAGCTCGAAGCAAAGCCCGTTTACCTCTAACATTGTCTTCCACATCAAAAAAAGGCTCAAGAATCCAATACACTTGATGAAAAATCATAATGAAACAAAAAAACATGCAGAGAAAGTCGTGCAAGAAACCGAAGAGTCACGATAGAGGCAAAAAAACGTAGCCAATGTGTAATGTTTTGAACTCACATGAGAGCGTGTCTTTCCTCCGGACCTGCACCCCTATGATGGCTTCCATTGGCACCTCTGTGCGCGGTATGCTCACTGCGTGCGGGGGCAGGTAGATGGGCTGGAACTGGCCGAAGTTGCACTCCTCGGGGATGGACTTCTGACACGAGGCATGAGACTACGGGGACAGAAAATGACAGCACAACAATTATTACACACATACGTTTACCCCCAATACATGAGGGCCAATTTAATCTGGTCTCTGCTATACAGTAATATATTTTTCTGTCAGTGTATTTCTGAAACCTTCTGCGACAACATTTTTCAAAAACGATGACGGACTTTAAAAAAAACAAAAAAAAAACGAAGTTACCAATTTTTAATTTGGATGTGACGTGGGTGTCACAGTTGACACGGGCATAAACCTCTTTACTGATCGCGTCAATCCCCCAAGGACAGGAAGCGCTTCCGACTGTTCGTCCGACTGTTCCACTTCCTCCTGCTTCCCATTGCGAGCACAACAAGTTGTGTGTCGCGCTCAGCGCCGCACCGCGGGTCGCGGCGCGGGGTGCGCGATACTCGTAAGTCACGCAACGGGGCGCGGCGCAGAGGGAAGAGGGGCTCGGGGGCGGGGGGAGAGGTTCCCACCTGCCATCGCGAGGCAAAAGTTCTAGCCACGGAGAGAGACCGATTCAATGGCCCGACCTTATCTACATATCATTCATCCACATGAGCCCCATTTATTTACTTTTTTTTCCGTCGATACTGAGGGGCTACGAGAGCAGAAAACAAAACGAATACAAATCAACATCGGCTGTGAATACTACTACGCACCGTGAGCCCGCACCACTCGCACCGCGTCCCCGCCAGGCACTCCGCCGACCAGCACGTCTTCCTGCACACGCAGCACTTGGAGTTGGCCGGCAGGTTCCCTTCCCGCCAGTGGTGCGTGTGGTGCACCATGGACAGGTCCTTGCCCGGTAGGTAGGTGGCGTTCTCCTTGCAGTCCGCCACGGCCAAGTCCATGCACTCCGGGTGCACGAAATACTCGCAGACTGCAACAGGAGAGGTGCGCTATAAAGGCATCGCCTGGGTAAAATGACAATGGACGGCATAGAACTCATGATACATCAGACAATGTGTGATATGTGATTTTTTCTTCCAAGTTTTCTACCGTTAGTGAGCCATTGCGTCTCGTATACTCACTCTCACAATGCGCCGCCAGCCCATCGCCTAAACCTTTCCGACACACGTTGCAAAACTTTCTCTTGTGGTGCGACTGCTCCGACCAGCAATGGGCAACCGGGTTCTGGAACAAGAAAACAACAAAAATCCATTAGTAACCTGGACCTATTTGCTTCTGTGATTGCCCTCGTCGTAATTATTTAAGAAATGTCATCTAAGAACCAAAATATTTTAAAATCCTGAATATATTTGGAAGTGTTGCAATCCAATCTCCATGTGGGACATAAAAGGTGAGGTGCGAAATACAGCGGCCAGCGGCGGCCACAGGCTACAGGCTCACGAACAAAACACCATTAAAGGAATAATGTAAGCTCGGATGTAAGTAACAATCAGAATCCTAGTTGGTGGGGCAGTTTTTAGTTTAGGTCAAAAAGGCTAAAGGCAAGGCGCCTAAGGCAGCGGCCGCCGACCAGGATGCAGCCCACGATGAATGAAGAGCCCGTGAGCTTGGCTCGGTGGCCAACAGGAGCTGCGCGCTGCCAGCCCAGTCTGGGGGCCGGGGCCCGGGCCCAGCCTGCGCCACGGATGAATGGGATACCGGTCGATAGGCACGCCTTTAGGCACGCCAGCCGCGCCTCACCGGCCACTAGGCAAAGGGGGCTGGGGTACTTATGGGCAAGGGTGCCATTGCTGGGATGCCATGGCCTGGGGGAGCAGCGTGGACTACACTGTCAAAAAAATCGTGCGGCAAAGGACAGGAAAAGTACAGGGTTTCCGTACATGATGATCCGTACTTATTTACTGTAGTGCCCGTAAGGGGTCTTCCAGAAAGTAACGCCCGTTTTTCTCATCATCTTTCGACAAATAACGGGAGCTCGGCGCCTGCGAGACTCGGGGTAGGCCAACCCGCAGTACACGTATGCACTGCATGCAGGGTGGTGCCTACCTCCCAGGCGCTAGAAGACATTGGCTCAACTTCGTAACGGCGATTGGACGCACTGTAAATTGCTTACGAACTATAGGTTCGTAATGCAAACCAAAACGTTCGTAGCTTACGAAGGATTGTCAAACGTTGTATTACGAACTAATTGTTCGTAAGCTTACGAACAAATAGTTCGTAATGCAAGCCGATTGTTCGCAAGACCCGTCTAGCCTTACAAACAATCGCTTTGCAATACGAACAATTTCTTTGCAATACAAAGAACGGAAATTGTTCGTAACGTTGCAAAATATTTAGTTCGTAAGCTTTTTACAGTGCGTTCTTTCTAGATGACTCCTAACGGTCCGTGTTCAAAATTCCTGTACTCCGTACTCAAAACAACGCACTGGTAATTTTCCTGTAAACCTACCTACTTTTTTTCACAGTGACCAGTAACCAGCCAAATTTAGGCATCAACATAATACTGAATATCTGTTTATCGAACGAAAATCGGCATTATCCAAAATTTAAAGGCAATCTTCACAAAACCTGGAAATTTCCTCTGTTGAACTGACTAAGTAAGATCAATCGACAAAAAATAAATAAATTGTGCTAGAATCATCATTCACGTAACTTCCGCGTACACCAAAAACATGCAAAGAGAGTTGAAATTTATAAATTGAGACTGTCGGTTGACCCACTGTGGCCTGGCGTGAATCAAGGGATATAAGGGCTCTTATGTTTATGACACAACCAAAGAGCGGTGACAGGGGACTGCTACTGGGGACGAACGGAACGGACGGAGAAAACGATTGCCCCCAATCTATATTATCAACGTCAATCGGCTTATCAAAACTGGAACGTTAATCGGCAATCTTTATCAAAACTGGATAGAGGGACGGAGGGAGGGGAAGGGAAGGAGAGAGAGAGAGAGAGAGAGAGAGAGAGAGAGAGAG